TCAAGATAAGATCAATGTCCCGTCGGCTCTTGCCGCAGTGCAACAAGAGGTTCATACACTCTAACGACGGCCAACGTGTCCGCGCATCTCCGTCTTCTTGCCCACAAGACTATACTGTATCATACCATTCCCTACCCGTACGGATCACTCTCCCCCGATTTCCGCGTCGAGTTATTATTCATCGATCCTATGACATAACTTAGGCTCGATTCACGTACCTCAAGTTCTTCATTCATCTCGTACTCTGTTCCCCTCTTACTCTCATCACCCTTTCTCAAATACATATATTCCTTTTCCGGTTGTTGCGTGTTTTTCTTTCGGACCGCATCGTATCCAAACCTTATGACAGCGATCACATCGAAAGGGATCAGATTAGCCACATTTCTGCTCTTGGGCTATTTGAAGGGTTTACGAAAGTGTTTGGAGCTTGCTCCCACAGGGCTAGCGCGGACATTCGCAAGCAGTTTCATTTATTGCCCAAAACAGGGCCTACGGAACCGCATCTCTATCATGTGTGCATCAGCTGAATGTATTCCGTACACCCGTGTAAGCGCACTTACTGCATCACCACGGCCTCTTGCGGACCTGCAGGCACTCGTTCATAGTCATTGAGGCTACAGAGCGGGCAGCAGCTGCAGCGCGGGGAACACGTTCTGTACTAAATCCGCCTCCGCCGAGCAAGTGATCGAGTCCACGGGGCATATCGATTATCGGATCGAGAGTTGCTAATTGTCGCAATGTTGCGAGCCAGGCGGTGCTCACAAGATGAGTTTCGCCACAGCACCCTGCACGCGGCCGGAACTGGCGAAGTGGGACATCTCCGCATCGCACACCTGACCCATCGCTTCCTTCTCGGGGGACCCATGTAATGCATAATATCCGGCCAGGCGCGCTTTCTGCGGCGCTATCTGCGTGGGCCTATTCGGTGCCACTTAGTCCCGTGTATCATCCGTCGCGTGCCATCGGACGCGCGGCACCATCGCTTCGGTTACGACACTACGTTCCTGAACCCTACAACACGCTCTGCCCCAGTCTCAGAAAATAGCCCGGGTCACTAGACGTTTTTGTCGCGCTCACGCCCGCACAGGTACTTTCGGTACTTTTTAATGCTTTCATTTGGCTTTGCAATTGTCATTAGCTGCATGTGGATATTTGTCCGGTGAGACCGCTCGGTCCCTCATATCGGATGTGCGAGTACGATATCAGAGTTCAGCGTGCGATCCCCGGCGTTGTGCCATTGTCGCATTTACTGTGATCACCGAGAGCGGTCCAATCAACTCACCATGGAGACACGGGCCCAACCCCACCCCCGCAGCAATGCCGCGATGCGATGGGACTCGGACCTCTTTTGCGAATTATAGTATTTCCGCGATGTGCCTCATTAATTACGCCACGACTCCAGATGGGGGTTTGTGTCCGTCTGTTTGGGTGGCAGGATGATCGCCCCTGCTAAGTGTACTATAACTAATCAGGTCAGTGAGACCCGGCCACCCAAAGCAGTACACATAACCTATACACGCGTTGATGCCAATGCGTTTCCCAAATGTTGGGGCTGATTTTGATCAGCTAGCCACCGGGCATAGGAGCTGCACGACCTAGATAGGTTCCGGGTGGACCCCGATCGATAATGGGTCAGGCCAATGGTGTTGAGGCCGTGGACGCTGACAACGAATGGGCTTTATTTTGAAATTATCTCTGCTGGGCCGCAGGGACGGGGTTAACGGCTCTCGGCAACAAGCGCGACAGGCGGTTGATCATCTAGTTATTCAATTGCGCCGACAATGACGGGGCAGAGGATGCCATATTTGAATAGAACCTTGACGGAATGGATCCTGCGACACGCATTTTGAGGCCATTAATCATCACTACAACACGACTCATTCAATAGGAGAACTATCAACTGTACTGCTGAAACCTGTCTGGTCCATGACCAAAGGCAGGAGAGAACAATACTGTCGTGACTAACCCAGAGATCTAAGCGATCTGCCCAAAACAGTAGCTGCAGATTATTTTGGGAAGGTCATGCTGCGTCGCTTACCTCCGTGAGACTTTTATGAAATCATTGGTGCGACAATTTGACAGTGGGTGGCAATCAATGTAATCGGAGAGAAAACCCATTTGGCACGGGGTCATGGTGCAAAGTGAGCGGGGAGGTAGTGGGGGCGTTCGGGCATTAGCGGGGAGAAAATAAATTTCCACTGCCACACACACGTGTTGGATAAACTACCGAGATGGTTAGTTTTCTTTAGGTTGGCTAGAGGGGAATCATATCCGCGCCCTTAGCCCGTAAGTAATGAGGTCAGCAAGGATACCGCAGGCAGGGCATGATGAATACATCCAAGCACATTTGGTGCATCATGGAAAACTTGGAGCGACACGCCACAACTGCACCCTACCGCATGTCCTGCACTGAACAACAGCCCCTGAATTCACCAAACAAACATCAAAGTCATGTACATGTTTTGTATCGAGGACTGATTAGCCACATCGCCAGTGGACGAAAACTAATAGGCGCACGGCATGCCCAGGTCCCGACCACATACTCTCCGCAGCCCTAGCCATTGCGTTCGCACACGACATTATATGCGAACAACACCCGGCATGCGGTATGCATACCCGGGGGATATAACCTGCGTTCTGACTGAGGATCGTGCTCACCGCCACGAAATTTATAAGCTGAACATAGGCACGTGACTATTTCCGAGTCCACTCCCGCGGGTCCGTGCGTGCGAAAGTCGCTGCGACTATTCATTTGCGCGGATTGGGGGCAAGCCCTCTCTTTATCGAAAGTTGCAACCTGGCGATTTTGGGGCTGTGCAGTGCTAACCCAACCTGCATGTCCTTGATGCCGCTCTGTTCAGGGAGAATATCAACCTTCTTACCAAGATCGTCCCGTTTGCTTCCTTCCATGGACTGTGTCGGGTGCGGCCCGTCAAGGAGGGACAGATTACTCCCCCCACATGTTATACGTCTTCCCTGTGGTTCTCGTATACATCTTCCTTTCCCTTTCCCATTTTTGGTGTTTTATTCGCAGCTGTGCGTCCTACTCGGTTGGGCAAGCGAGTTACGCGGACACTGTCATTGAGCAAATTGATCATGACAGTGATTCCAATTGTCCCGCGGTTATCACGTGTGCTGCACGGTACATGCTGAGATCGGAAACTTGAACTCGAGTGCGGTCAAAGTCATCTCTCGAATTCATGCAAATTATTGTTCAGTTCCAAGATGAGGTACAGTGTAGGGCGTCAGATAGTAAATGTTGGAATTATTAATGGCCATCAAAAACGTTTTTAAGGTACTCAATGCTCGCTCACGAACACGGCAGCCATGCCCATGCCCGAGCCAATGCACATGCTCGTCACAAAGATTCGCTTATTTGTCTGTCTCGCGATGTTTAGACCTGTGGCGATCTGGCGTGCACCGGCTGCACAGGAAAAGAAAAGGTCAGCCCTGTACCTAGCATTAAACGTAGAAAAGAACACACTCATGCCCAGGGGGTGACCAATGGCAATCGCACCGCCGTTGAGGTTGACCTTCTCATACGGCAAACCGAGCTTCTCAATGGAATATACAGCTTGGGACGCAAAAGCTTCGTTGATCTCGAAGAAGTCGATATCATCCGCCGTAAGGCCTGCCTGCGTGAGCACCTTGGGGATGGCAAACGCGGGACCGATGCCCATGACGCGTGGAGGAACGCCAACGGTGGTAGCAGCAATGAACTTGCCAACGATAGGAAGACCGAGGCGTTTAGCAGCCGAACGCCGCGCAAGAAGGACGGCAGCGGCACCGTCAGATACCTGTGACGCATTGCCAGCATGTGTGGTCCCGTCTTTCTTGAACGCAGGCTTGAGCTTGGCGAGGCTCTCCGCGGTGACACCGTCTCGGATCCCGTCATCGGCCGCGACTATGATCTCCTTGACCTGCTCCGTCTTTGGATCTACCCAGTTCACCTTGAGCGGCACAATCTCGTCACGGAAGCGTCCTGCCTTGGCGGCAGCTGCAGCCTTCTTGAACGAATTTGCGGCGAAGGCGTCCTGCTGTGCACGAGTAATCCCGTAGTCCGCCGCGACATTTTCTGATGTTATACCCATGGGAAGGAGGCAGTCCTCGGCATCTTGATTGGAAAGAATGGTCTCGGACCAGCCATCAGGTTGTGAAGCTGGGCCAAACCCGAAGGTCATAGACTCGACACCAGCACCTGTGCCAGATATGTTAGAAGGAACAGACAGGAAAAGAAAAGGCGTGTTGATATGTACCAATACCAATGTCGATCTGTCCGGTCAAAATCTGCGCTGCAATCTGGTTGACGGCCGTAAGACCGGACGAACACTGACGGTTGACAGTCGCGATGGAGGTAGAGATTGGGATACCGGCATGGAGAGCGGCCATGCGAGCTGCGCTCGCACCACCACCGGGAGGAAGGACATTTCCAACGCTGATATCCTCAATAAGTGCAGGGTCGAGGTTAACCTTGGTGTAGACTGCACGAAGGATGCCCGAGAGGATTTCCTCTGGGCGGGTGTCCTTGAAGCCACCACGTTTGCCCTGTAAGGTGAATGTCAACAACAACAACAGCGGAAAACGGAAGATAAGCCCTGGGAAGGTACCTTGGTCATGGCGGAGCGCACTGCCGCGACAATGACCACGTCATTGTCGTTCTTTGCGAGGACTGTTGCCTTGCCAAAGGTGGAATTAGTTCTCTGGATGGAGGATGCCATTATGATAGGGAGCCGTGGGTGATCAAAGTTGTGTGGGGTGGGCCAAGTTGAGCGGGTTGTCGTTTTTAAGCGGCTGAGGTCTGGGGAAGGGACCAGGCGCCGCCCGGAGCAACCGGTCCATGTGATAACGGCATTAACATCCTGATCCTTAGACGACCGACCCCCTGAGTGAAACACTCACTAGCACTGTCACACAACTGCAACACACACCACATCTATCTTTCTCATTCAAGAAAAAAAGGGAAAAGCTAATTCAAAACCGAAAAGATTCGTCGTGTAAAAGGGCTCAACCGGGAATTGAACCCGGGACCTCCTCCAATTCCGGATATACCCGAAGAAGGAATCATACTACTAGACCATTGAGCCGCGAAAGGCTGCACAGATTGTAAATATAAAAGGCTGCTAGGATGTTCGACCTGGCGGGGATCTGGACGTACGCGCATGAGAAACACTCATGGGTCCCGCTTCGGACACGGACAATCATAAAGATCATCGGGTGCGCCTCTCCACCCTCACTCCGATATTCCTCACCATGTCTCAGTACAGTCCACCTAGATCGCCGACCTCGAACTACAACTGGCTGCTGATGCTGCCCGCGCCGCTAAATTCCATGCGCGTCTCATGGCGACACTTGACACCCTTGACTCGCAACGTCGTGCATATGCCGAGGAAATTTCCAATGAGCGTCGCCAGTGTGTCGCGCTTCAGGCACAGCTGCATGTCGCAAGGGCCGAGAAAACGGCAATAGAGGCGGAAAGAGACAGTCTACGCGAGGGTGTGTTGCATCTAATTGAGAAAGGTGCGTCGTGCGTGTAGGGGTGAGTCGTCCCACCCCCGCTTACCGCGTGTTAACAGTCGAGGTCTGTAATGATTATAGCCTCTGGCCGCACAGTGGTCTCGCGATGACCAGTCCCGCAGGTGTGCCTCACGTCTTGCCGTGATATTTCCTTTTGGCTCAGTCTCGCTTTCGTTGACAGCCCCAACAAAGCCTCGTCATCTGGATGAGCAGCCGCAGTCAACATGGTCCGCGTCCGCCCGTGCGTATTCAGCAGCACTTATCACCGCATTGCGCGAGGAGTGTGAGCACGAACGTAGAGCGCATTCAGACGCTTTACGACGTGTCGCAGAACTCGAGGCGCAACTCGCCCGCCGTGAAGTAGAGCTCGAAGAACGCTTGGGCTCGACGCCGCCTGTGCCTGTTTCAGATTCTTCCCCTTTACCGCGACTCTCGCGCGATGGCGCTATCCGCGTGCTACAACAGTCTGCAGCGCGAAACGAAGCCTTGACACATGAAGTAGCCGGCCTCGTACAGAAGGTAACGCGAACCTTTCCCGTTCCCGCATACGGTGCAACTGAACACCCATCCCCGGCTCGTCTGTAGCTTGAAGACGCACACGCGGAGCTGGAACAGAGTCCACATCCCTCACCCGTAATGACGACGCCACCAAGACTCTATCGTGCATCATCTCCGATATCCCCGACACCGCGGCGTCGTATCTCATCGTCGCCTTCACGTTCCTCCAAGTCATCCCCGATTCCCAGACCGCAGCGTTTGTCGAGGCCTTCGTCCCCGCTTCTGTTGTCGCCGCGAGTCGCGTCTCCCCAAGCGGACATAGCACGGCAGATAGCAGCAGTGACGCAGGACCTCATCGGCTTGCACGCAGAAGAGCGGCGCCTCCTTCAAGCACGAGCGCAATCGCGCACAGTGCAGCCACAGCAACGGGTGCGTCGTCTCACAATTGCCGGTCATTCTGCGAATATCCAGAGTCTCATCGTTGACGTTCCAACCAGGATGTTCCGCTGGGCAGTACTGCCGCCACCACTTCCAAGCCCACGTTTCAGCGCGTATTACTCATCGAGGAAGAATGCATCCGGTCTGCAGCTTTACTTCCCCTCCCCTTCTATTTTTTTCTATCTAGTATTCCCGACTGATGGGGTTGATGTGTGTGTCTATTTTCCTGCAGGTTGCGAGCCGAGCTCGCTGCATCTACCTCCCGCGAAGCGGTGCTTCGTGAATTGCTTGGACCCGTTCCAGCCCTGCCGCTTGTGCCTACGGAGGAGGACGTTTTCGGAGGCGATGAGGACGATGGCGAACCGATGGACCTCGCAACGCCATTGCAACCGACAGTGCTTCTCCATCCAGAAGATCTATGGCACAGATAAAGGGGGAATGAATTGTACTTTCTGGTTATCATCTATCTGTCTATTTTTTCATCTATCTACCTGGTGCTTGCCCGTAGTTGCTTTTTTTTTTTTTTGATCTCGCTTTGTTGTGCACTGTGCTGTCGCTACATGCATGTATCTTTATCTGTGCTTTGTAATTGTCATTGTGTCGGTCTAATGCTGTTGCACATGCAATCCAGTTGGTTTCATGATCTCGATCTGGAGGGTGTAAGACTCGTGACTTTGCTGGTGGGTCCATTAACTCACTCGGGTCGAGGCAGCAACGGGACCCTTGCGTAAATGCGAATGCATCGCATGATTCCTAGCCATGGTCATGAGCGTGTTCTTACTAGTGTGCCGATCGGCACTGGCCTCGTGGTAGTACATGCACAATCTTCGGGTCATACTTGATCAGCACAGCTAGCTCGATGGTTCAAGCGTTCGAATGTTCAAAGCTGAGACCTGTGTGCTTCTCTCGACCTGTCACGGACCAGCACCTGACACAGGCCTGCACGTCCGAGTCGGATTTGTGCAATGCCCACAGAAATCTCGAAACAGCGACATCATTTTTCAGGTTCGGTCTGGCTCCGGGTTGCGGGTTGATCAAACGTTGATTACGTTCATCGCAGAAATCTCAATTACAAACACCGAACAATGCTTGGTAACTTAGCTTATATATTACTGTGTATGATCTTCTAAAACACCGCCACCCAAATCAGCACATTTGAGAGAAAACCATGTTGATCTCTGCCTGGGACCTGGACGCGGTGCAGTACTAGGGCAGGACCTTCAATGAGAGATTCTTTCGAGCACACAACACCCTTAGCAACCCTAAGAGTCACACACTCTGGGCAGTCTGGGCGTTCCGTCCGAGTCATCGAGTTTGTCGAGCGCTGAACTAGGTTTTGATCTTTGTTCGCAACGTGAATAAGCTACCAGCGTGGAGAGTGTGAGAGTGTACTTATACAATTTGCTGATGCCGCCGGTTCACCATCACCATATCTACATACCCCCCCGCACGGCTACCTATTACCAGGACGGGTTGCGCGCGATGACCATCGATACTCGCTTACAAACTCTCCCCTTCAGCATCGAGAACGCGTTCACGGACCAGCTTGGGGGCGGCAACCCTGCAGCAATCGTGCATCTGCCATCGCTGACATCGCTGCCCGACACGACTCTGCAGACGATGGCGGCCAATTTCAACCAGCCAATGACGGTCTTTATCGCGCCCCTCGCGCCCGGTGAGCACAATGTGGATCCCTCCTCCTGGGCGACGACGACGACATTCGGCATCCGGTGGTTCACGCCCAAGATCGAGGTACCACTCTGTGGACATGCCACCCTTGCCGCCGCCGCCGCGATTTTTCGCGATGTAGGCAGGGGCGCAGAGGACCCTACGGCAATACGATTCCAGGCTACGTCGGGCAAATTCCTCATCGCGCGTAAGGTCGAGGAGGATCGCATCGAGATCGATCTCGATTCGGAGAAGTCGGTGGCGCTCTCGATGGAGGAGGATATCAAAGTACGAGGCGTGCTGACCAAGGCGCTAGGCAAGGACGTTCCGGTGAGGTACACGGGGCGTGGAGCGGGACACCTGAATTATTATGCGCTTGTTGAGGTGGACACGCTGGACTTGAAGAACCTGAGAGTGAACACGGATGCGTTCGTGAGTATCCACCTGGCCATGAATATGAGCCAGCTTGTTGATGAATGCCGTGCCTGGATGGTTTAGCTTGAGAGCCCTTTCATTGGGCATGTCGTCGTTGCGCCTTCATCTGTCCCAGGTGTCACGTTCGAGTCTCGGATGTTTGCCGCCCGTGCTGGGATCCCGGAGGATCCGGTATGTGGCACCGCGCACGCATTGGCGACGCCATACTGGATGGCCGCGAAGAATCTCTCCGGAGTTGTCTTCGCAAAGCAGGTCAGCTTTCGTGGGGGTGACCTTCGGATATTGTTTGATGCGGGCGAGCGAAGGATCAAACTCGCTGGACAAGTCAGGGGCGTTTCTAGAGGGGAGCTGTACATTTGATACACCTGCAAGGCAACCCGAAAGCCGCAAAATAACCGCGTACTACAGTCACACCGCAAATCAGTGTTGTGCCAGTTGGAGACTGACTAGTCAGTGTAGTCTAGGGCTGCACACTGTATTACTAGCCAATATTTGAAGGATATGAAGGATGGTGGACGAAAGAGCAATGAGTGTGGTGGTGACGAGACCGTGGGCTGAAGCGGCGGATAAGTAGGACGATGGCGATGACGTTGGCCCCAAGAACGATGGAAATGGACGAGATGATTAGACCGCATCTAACAGTCATCAGGAAAAGTGTCGGTACTTTTTTTATGTCTTTTTAAGACATAAAAGACATATAAGACATAAAAGGACTAAAGACATTGTGTACTATTTAGGCCCAGTCAGTTTACTTGGAATGTCATCTTTTACTTTTAAAGACATCAATAAGAACAGCATTCCTTTTTAAAAGACATATTGGCTTTAAAAAGATACACTTTCTATTAAAAGATGGCATGACATAAACCTGACAGCCAAACTTATGAAAGACAATTTGACTTCTATGACAGACAAGGTTATGTCCATGCCTATGGCATGGGACTTAACCTTGTTGGGGGCTGCACCTTCAAACCCCTGCCTCTTACTATTCTTAAAATTGAGCTTGTGTAGCTCATCTTACTTTCACATTATTTTAGCACCCTTCCAATTTCCTTCTACAATTGAAGCTGTCTTAACCCATTGCTGTTTATGCAAGCCCAAAGGTATGGGTTACAATAATGTATAGGTTTAGGCAATGGGGCTAAAAATAGAAATGTAAAAAAAGAAATTGAAAATTAGAGAGCTTTGTGTATTTGTGATATGCATTTATGATAATTAAAGCTATATTTGTGGATAAATAATTTATTTATCACTTTATGCATATTTGACTACTAAATGATGAAAGGGTGGCCTTCAGTTTATATGCTAAAGGCTCATTAACCCTAGTAATAAACTTATTGACAACTAATGATGCCTGGAGGTACTTGAAATGCAAAGGGCCAGTGTCATCAAGCTCATCATCTAATTCATCCCTGGTGGTTAGGTGTGTGGTTAAGCATATTAGGGATGCATCCTTCTGCACCTCTTATGCATCAAGCATAGCACAATAGATCTCCTCTTTGGTTACATCATTAATGACTTGGCTGTAGCTCAT